AAACCCTAAGCCCAAGATCCCCTAAATCCCAAACCCCCTAAACCCCAAGCCCAAGATGCCCTAAACCCTAAACCCCCTAAACCCTAAGCCCTAGATCCCCTAAACCCTAAACCCAAAACCCAAGATCCCCTAAACCCTAAACCCTAAGCCAAAGCGCCGACAAGACGTAACTCGTCACCGGCTCCCCGTGGCGCTGGTATCGTAGGACAACGCCCGCCTGAAAGCTCGAGGTTTCCCAGAGAGTCCAAAAACCCGTAATTAAGGAATATACCTTAAATCTTATTGGGGTTCCTAATATAATTTAAGGTATAATTCCTTAATTAAGGGGTTTTGGAGGCTTGGGTTCCGTGGTTTTGAGCTTTGGGGATGATTCGGTGGTTCTCGGGATCAGTTGAGGTTTGGTAGGGCTACAGTTGATGATATAAATCCTGCACTACCCATAAGGAATATACCATAACTCCCATAGTTTCGGGTCCTTAAGGTCATGCAGGATTTATATCATCAAAGGGGTTTAAGGATGTTGTGTTTAAGACCTCACGTCTGCGGCTTCTACGGGCAAACCGCTCGGAAAGGCCTTGCATGTTCGAGCAGCAATCTGTGTATCGAGCACTCTGAAGTGGGCTCCTCTAGGAACGACATGGCACCAAGACAGGGGCCTTGATAACTGGAACATGGTTCTGAGGGGGGGCGGGCAGTATCCTGTCATAACTACAACCAGATAGGGACTAGAAGGGCACGCTGTTGCTGATGAGTACCACCTCCATATATGACAGGTGGAAGCAGCTGCGTGCATTTCGTCGGTCGTACACGTTACACCTTAGAAGCTAAACCGAGCTCGTAGCCGGTGTAATGTAGCGGCTGTGTGGCCAAAACCGGTTCTTGCAAACCTGCTACGACCGAAACCCCGAGGCCCCTAAAGGCCCATGCACTAAACCCCCTTTTGCCGCTGGGCTCTGAGTGGCTGCGATTCCGCCGACACTCTGAAGCTCGGCAAACCGCTATAAAGAAGTCCCTGAAGACCCAAACAAGACGGTTTAGGGTTTAGGGCCTAAGTTTAGGGTTCATAGGGGTTTAGGGTTTATAGGGTTTAGGGCCTAAGTTTAGGGTTCATAGGGGTTTAGGGCTTATAGGGTTTAGGGCCTAAGTTTAGGGTTCATAGGGGTTTAGGGTTTATAGGGCTTATAGGGCTTATAGGGTTTAGGGGCCTTGCCAAGCATGGAAGGAAGCAGCTGTTTCAAGGAGACATTGAGGCGGCCAGGCACGCGAAGAGACATGCTCCCCGCAAGCTCACCTTCAGGCTTGGGCGCTTTTGAGTGTTGGGCCCACAGTTGTCATGTTGGCTTTTTTTTTGCTTTTCTTCGGGTGAATTTCGGACTCTGAAATGACCTTATGCGACTGTCGATGCTTAGAGTCTTGCGTGCGAGTGAAGTGCTCAGCATCGGAAAGACAGCATGGTCGAGTGGTGTGGCTATCAGGTCACAGAAAACCACGAGCAGCTTCAGATAGAAGTCTGGTGGCACCGAACGTCATCGGCCGTCGAGTCATGCTATAAGTAAGATTGAAATGACGAACTACAGGACAACCCGGACCAGTTGAAGCTTAAGGCGTCTACGATCGACGTGATGCTCCGACACACTGGCTGCAGTCTGGGCGACTCGCAAAGAAAAACTGCTTACGCCTGACTGGGCCCCGAGCCCTTCACGTCGAGCTCCACGATTCCAGGAGGGAGACTTCTTGTCGGGGTTTCCGTAATCTTCGCAAGGACCTCCGCATGGTGGGCAATGCTCTCTTTGACACTCGGATGCATTTTTGTTTTGGTCGGAATTGCTTTCAGATCTGCAAGAGTTGGTACTGCCAAGGCCAAAGACTCCTGACCTCAGGGCATAAGAGTTGTCACCCCTCCAGACATCGCAAGTCTTCAAAGGACATTGTTTCGAGTCAAGTTCACAGTCCTCGAAGAAGCTGCAGAAACAAGCAATCGCAAGCAGAAAGCACAAAAATACATACGAATCCTAAAATTCCATTGTAAACCATGTGGTTCATCCTCGTCGGAGGCTGCCAGCACCACATCGTCAGGCAACCTGGACTGCTCCGCGGACCCACTTGTACAAATGTGTGTGTGTATATATATATATATGTACATATGTTTGTGTGTATGTATGTATGTATGTCTGTCTGTCTGTATGTATGTCTGTATGTATGTGTGTGTGTGTACGTGTACAATCGTGTACAATCATACATACATTCATAGATACTTGCATACATAGTTACATAGCTATAGTCAGCTACATACATACGCACATACACACATACACACATACACGCATACACACAAACACACAGACATACAGACATACAGACATACAGACATGCACACATACACACATACATACATACATACATACATACAGACAGACAGACAGACAGACAGACAGACAGACAGACAGACAAACAGACAGACACACATACATACACACATACATACACACATACACACATACACACATACAGACAGACAGA